GAAGCTTAATTTTCAATTCAAGCCAATTTAGTTATTTGTCACTTAAATACACACAAATTTGTCGATACAGCCTTTAAAATATTAATATTTAAAAATGCCTTACGTGTTGACAGCAAACAAAATAAGTCAACAATAAACTTCATCTCGACTTACGTATGGTGACACTTTTGTTTTTGTATAGGCGTCCATAAATGTCCAAAGTCAGGGCAGAGCAGGTTGGCAAGCGGAACGGGTGGCAAGCTTCGAAAGCAAATTACCTATTCATGTCAGGCGACGCAAAGTGCCTAGGCAGCCACATCACAACAATTGACAATAGAAATAAAACCGTTTACAAAACTACAATAGCAACAACACAATACAGATAAAATCAGCGAACTCAGGCACAGTAATAGCATAGTAATTGAATTAATAAATAAATTCATCTAAATGGCAATAAAAAAGGCGCACCAAAAATCATAAACTACAAGAGAAGTGGGACAGAGGGCGGCCATATCCGAGGAGCCGATTGTGCACAGTGTGCGCTTTCAGCAGCTGTCAGTCATAAAAACTTCTAGCCACAAACGTGCATAACATAACGAATCGAACCGTATGTACGTGTAATAGTGTCGCTTAAATATACAACAAGACACCGGCACACACAAATTCACTTTTGACAATCGAACGCGAACCTAATCAAATTGTGTTTATGTTTATGCGCGCGGCGCTCATGGGAGCTAAATTGCTGAAATTAGGAATAAAAATCATTAAAAATCACTGTCATCACATTTGAAAATGAAATTGTGATTATATACTTATATATATGTACAAAAATAATATAAGTAAACATTATTGTGTTTGTTATGAATGCTTTCAAAAGCTACAACAACAAAGCGGTTATTTCAGTAATTCATATGTTGGTATCTATCGCTCGTTCCGCTTGAGTATGGCACTCGAATGATGATAATTTTTTCAAATCAATTGGAAATTGTCACTATTAATTTATTTATGAGTGAATTCACGTATGCGATTTCGTTTTTATGATCAGCGCCATAATGGTGCACTAGGTTATTGTGACTTTCTGTTCGGTTGACAACTGATTGCTGGAGACCAGAATAATTATGTACTTGGAAATATATGCGGATATAGAAATTTATTTCAGAGTGGGACACCATATTGGAAAAAGGAACTATATTCATTGTCAGACGGTAATTACTCGTAAACTGAGTAATTAATAAAATTTAAAAAATATAGGAAAATTCGAAAATTATAACTTTTAAATTAGAGGGAATTTTCAAGCAGTTAGTGGTGATCGATTTTTATAAATCCAAAACTTGGTAAACTTAGCCTAGAAATTTGAAAAAGTAACTGTGTTTTCACATTAGTGATTTTGTTTATTTGTCATACACTTTTGGTTGTGCGATATTTTGTCCGATATTTTGTCAAATAGTCGTAATTTGGGGGAAGTGTTGTTTTTCTTCTTTCAGTCAAAGAAATTTGCGGCTGAAGCGCATCAGGAACTCCAAACAGTTGATGGAGATGGTGTCGCATCATAGACAAAGATTTCGATCTTAATGACCGTTCGCGTGAAACCAGGCCAAAAACGCCCGAAGATGATGAATTGGAGAAGTTGGTCGATGAGGATATGAGGGATCAAACGCAAACAGACCTTGCTTCAGCATTAGAAGTCCCCCGGTAAACAATTTCAAAGAAACTACATGCTTTATGTATGATTCAGAATCAAGGCTCTTGGGGTTCCTTATGATTTGAAACCAAGGGACGTTGAGCGTCGCCTTTTGACCTATGAACAATTGTTCCTACGGCGTAAAGCAAAGATTTTACTTCGTACGGCTCGGCCGAATATTCACGCTGCGAAAGTTGTGCTGGATATTTGGTGGAACCAGGCCGTCGTTACTTATTATAAGCTTCTCCAACGAAACTATGAACTGTTATTGATGCAATGGAGCCGCTCACTGCAATAGGAGCGTCGTCAATACCAGAAGGGTACGAAAAATGTGATTGAACAACTGACAAAGCTCGGTCTCATGGTGCCAAACCTAAAGCCATATTCCCCAGATATTGCAAAGTCTTATTGTTATTTGTTTCATTCGATGACACATGGTTTGGCTCAAAAACAATACCACTCACAAGACGACATCATAAAATGTTTTGATTCTTGGATAGCATCACAGGACGAACAGCTTTAACGAAATAGCATTCGATCTTTGGCAGAAAGATGGAAAAAGTTGTGACTAGCGATGGACAATAATTATGTATGAAAAAACCTGTCGATACTAAAAAAATATTTATTCATTATTGACGAGCTTTTGTTTTGTTTACAGGGTGGCTGATGAAAGCCGCTACCAAAAAAAATTAAATAACTTTTTTCTATTTAATGAATTTTTTATTTTGCAGATTGACTTTTACATTTAACAAAAAAGGATAACTGGGACATTGAAACAAGAATTCGAATCCAAAGTATGCCGTTATCACGCACTGTAGTCCGTAGTTTCGGTTCAAAGAGAGTATAGGTGCACGTTTGGCGGCAATCCTTCGAGTAGATGGACCATAATAAGACTTGTAAACAATTTTGCCGAGCATGGGACAGTCAACAGAAGACCTTACCATCGAAACCCTTCAGCTCGAACGGAGGAAACAATCGCTGCTGTAGCTGCTGCCAATCAAAACAATCCACGTGTTTCGACAGGAAGTTTATCTGCTCAAATGGGTGTAAACAGACAGTCATTACAGTCGCTTATGCACAAAAATTTTTACTTCCATATAAAACTCAAATGGCCAACAAACCGAACACTGCAGACTTGCCGATTCGCATGGAATTTTTCCAGAAGATGCTCAAATGGTGGAAGAGGATGGAAACATGTTGAACTGTCTTTTCATGTCTGACGAGGCCCATTTCGATTTAAACGGCAACATAAACGAACAAAATTGTGGGATATGGAGTGCTTCCAACCCACAGATACTCCATGAGACGGAATTGCATCCACTTCGTGCCACAGTGTGGTTTCATCACGCTGCATTGTCGGGCCCTACTTCTTCGAAGAAAACGGTCACACCGTTACGGTTACTGGAGACCGTTACTTGAGCATGTTGAGAGAGTTTCTCTGTCCAGATTTACGCCGAATGAGAATTTCTTTCAACTCTGTGTGGTTTCAGCAAGATGCTGCAGCTCCTCACATAGCCCAACCTGTTATGACAGAATTGAAACTCCACATTCCTTTGGCCACCCAGGTCGCCTGACCTTACTGCACCTGACTTTTTCTTGTGGAGTTATTGCAAACAGGAAGTCTACAAAGCAAAACCAACAAATTTGAATGCACTAATTCAATCCACTTGAGAAACAATTGCGGCTTTTCCTGTCTCAACTCCCCAAGCAGTAATGAACAACTTTTTGGTAAGATGCCGCACATGCATCAACGAGCAGAGGGGCATTTAAATTCCATTATTTTTAAAACTAATTAAGCTATATTTAATAAAATTGAATGAGCTTTAACATGAATAAAAGAAAAATGAATTCCATACACTGAAAAAAAAAATAAAAATTTGAGTTTCTTAATGTAGCAAAAGTCATCAGCCACCCTGTATATAAATGTTCACAGTGCAGAGCTGTAGCGATTTAGTCATTTTCAGCTATCTCTCGGTATATGAGCAAGGGTTCTCAGTTTTTGAGATATCGATCTGAAATTTTGCAAACGTTCGTTTCTCCTACTCATTAGCATAAATTATTTTCTAAGGTATCACTATAATCTCTGTAGGTATTGTTGAGATCGGACCACTATTCCATACAAACTGTCTTATGTAAAATTTTTTCTTTATACTAAAATCTCCAAATAAATTATTCAGATCGCACAAGCTGGCCAATCCAAGAAATCAAAACTCGATTATTTGAGAAAAGTGCAACCGAAGTGTTTTCCTGTTTTCTGTTACCAGATTTCAAACGAATAAGAATATTTATAATCGATTTAAAATGGAAAATAATAGAAATGGGAACCTGATTTCACGATTTCAAATTAAGTTGGCTCTTTACTTCAAGGTAAATATGGCAACCATACTAAACTGCCGTGTTTTTCTGTCGTCTGAATTTATCTATATGCATTGTATGATATTTTGTTGTTCACTCACACTTTTTTGTTTAAATACTGAACAACAGTTTTTTGGTTCCCCAACGAGTTTGTGTTATTTTTAAGAGGAAACAAGCGACTGTCATTTCCACGTTTCCAGTGAATATAATTAAAAGACCAACGTTTATTATTTAATATTTATATTTATTATTTTCATTTAATTGCAAAATGAAAAATAATTATTCCATCAAGTTTGTAGTTGAAGTTTTTGACTCTTTTATATTTTGTTTTATGGAAATCTGTTTGAATTATATAAACACATACAAGCGCTTCATATGCAGTTAAACATGGGTTGTAAGTGGATATTTCAAATTTTGCATATTTTCATGTATGCATGTATATTACATTTATTACATAGCTAAATTAAATTTTTAAAAGCCATTAAAACAAATAAACTGTAAGCGAAAGGCCTCGGTGTGCGCTTTCGATACTAAACAAAAAACTAATTCACAATTTTCACGCTTAAAATTATATAATTAAAGGCAAAACGTACAGACATATGTATTACATATATATATTAAATTAATAGTAACAAAAAACTAGTTGATGTGATTGTTTTTGTTTCATGGTTATTTGAAAAAAATGCTTTGGCTGCATTTTACAACTAAAAACTTTAATTACTTTTTACGTTTTTGCTCACAAATTCATATGCGTATACACATATAATATATACTATATATCGATGCAATTATGCATGTGTGTGTAAGTCATATGTTCATCATTTAAAACCTAATAAGCCTAGCATCCAACTACATTTTAGTATCACAGTGTAAAACGATCGCAACAATAGCGCATTCTCAAATTGAAATTTTTCATACAGTTTTATACTTTTTTTGAAACGCAATTTTGTATTAATCATTTTTTTAACGTTTTTTGTGTTTTGCATTTTTTGCCTTTTTTCTGCAATTTCCAACTTCATTTTCAGATCTTTGTTTCTGTTTTATTCGCTTCAATGTTTTTGGTATGCATATTGTAACCGAGTGCGCGGCACACCATGCCTATGCCCCACTCACTGTTGGCCTTGCAGTCGACATGTGCGCACGCGCCTCACTCAAAGATCACACGGTTAGCCTTTCGTTCTCCTTGACTAGCCTTGTTGTCAGCATTTATCGCGCTTCAGCTTCGCTATAGCAAACGCTTACTGATGCACCGCTGCCGAGCCAATGCGTTGACCATACATCGCATAGGGTGAGTAGTAGGGTCCCAAAGCCGCTGCTGCAGCAGCCGCTGCGGGATTAAAGCCAGTCATGCCGAAGGCGGATGGTGCAGTCAACGCGCTAGCTGGTATGCCACCGGGTTTGGCATAAGGATGATAGCGTGCCGCAGCAGCAGCGCTCATTGGGCTTAACGGTGGTGTTGGATAGCCGGCGCGGAGTGCTGATGGTGGGAAAAGTGTGCCCAATAATGATTGTGCCTGTGACTGGGCCAAAGCGGCGGCGGCAGCAGCTGGATCCGAGAGGTTACCGGTGTGCGTGCGCAGATGTGAGAAGAGTTCGTCGGAGGTCTGGAAACGTTTGCCACAATAAGCGTCACCTATCACCCAACTGCAGACATATGGCGCTGAACGCGCCGCAGCAGCACTAGCGGCAGCAGCAGCGGCAGCTTGCGAGTAAGGATGACTCGGTGGGAGACCAGCGGCGCCGCCCATCATTGCCATGCCATATTTTTGATGTTCACATTGTGTGCAACCAGCTGGACAGGGTGCACCCATAAGCATTTGTTGCGTATGTGCCGAGTACGGGCAGCCGGGACAGTAGGGATCCTTGCACACGGGTACAATAGCCTCACCGCCGGATGGTGTCTTGATGCGTTGATAGCTGATGTAGGGATTGGGTTGTGAGCCCGGACCATTGGGGCCGCCTGGGTAACCGCCACTTGCAGCAGCAGCGGCTAACATTGCTGCGTGATGGTGTGAGAAGCCGCCGGCAAACGGTGGGCGAAAAGCAGGATTGGCATGTTGCTCCATACCGGGGGGACAGCAGAGCGCCGATAATGGGTTAATACCATATGGCCCGGCCGCTTTGTAAGCAGCAGCAGCAGCAGCGGCTGCCGCAGCCATACTGCTCATCTCCTTAGGGTGCGTGGCTGAACCGTTGCTATTATTCAGTACTTCCATACCAGAACGCACAATGGGGCTGGCGCCACGTTGTGAAGAACCGGCGGGAGACACAGTTTTACGATTATTATCACTTGGTGTCGGTGTAACACCATGCATATTCTCCATTTTGATCGCATGTGATTCTGGTGTACAATTGGATTTGTTGCGTGAGGGCACACGTGTATTGTTATCTGCACCACCGCTTGAGGAGCATTTTGAGCTGGGTCGTTGCTCGTCCACAGTTGTTGAGGATGATGATTTGAATGTATTGTGGTTTTGAGCGCTTAATACATTTGTTTCGTAGGGCTTAAAAGCTAACTTCACCTCGGTGGTATTTGGTGTGGTGGATTTCGGTGATTTAGCCTGTGTTGGCGACTTGGAAGCACTCATATCCGTACTGGCATTCGATGAGGTGGATGACGAAGATGAAGATGCAGACTTCTTTGATTTATCCATAGCGAGTAATGGCTTAACTGCCGACGAATCAGCGCCAATTTGTGAACAAGTTTGTGCCAACAGTGCGAGTGGACTTTTCTTGGCGTCCATCTGGAAGGAGAAGAGTGGAAAATTTTTTATAAATAAAGTGTTTATATAACTTTTGAATTTTTAAGAATACTGATTATTTTTATCAAATTTGATACGAATAGCTTCTTATATACATACGGATACCATATGTATATTCAAAAATCACTCTCAACTCTACCCCTACTAAATGTATCTATTTTTGATTGCACGCGCAGTTTATATTTCTCTCGCCCTTCCACAGGTGCACCCAGTTAATACCGTCGCTAATATTATTGCATTAATGTTTTGGTTACTTTATTTTGAAATTTTAATTTTAATGTCCCACGTTGCTACCTAAAAACAAATATAATTCAGTTTTGATAGCTACATTACGAAAGAATTTCAAGCTATAAAACAGCTTTCACCGCCCATGACAGTACAATAAAGACATTTTCTGTGGCTATAATGACCAACATTTATGAGTCCATATTGTGACACGGAGATTACGATGTCAATAAAATCGGAGATGTGTTCATAAAAATAAATTCATTTAATGTATTCCGTGCTTTTTTCCTCGAATTGTATTTTTTTATGATATTTTCAATTTTATTTTACGAGCGCTTTAAACATGGTTATTTAAGTAAATATGTAAATAAATAAATAAGAAATAATAAATACGATATAAAGACACAATATGAAATAATTAACTTTTGGCTCGCTCACGCGGTTCTGTGGCGCTTAGACGAATATTTCATTAGTTGATAAGATATTTCCGATTATTAACTGGAGATAGTACCGTGTTCAACTAGCAGCCTGAGATTTTAAAAGTGTACCATAGTATCACTTCGATTGAATATATGCAAAAGAGATGTTTTCATTGCGAAAAGTATATTTTTTATATATTTATCATATTAGCAATTTCTTATCAAATTGGCATTATTTTTTTAGAATCAATTTTGTGTAGGAAACTAATAAATTTTCGGTTAAGTATTCTCAATTTATGTATTTTTTTAAATTTTAGTTTACCTGTAGTCTAATTTAATAACAAGATTTTTTAATTTTAAATTTAATAATATTTATAATAATAGTGTTTTATATTTTCTAATGTTAAAATTTCTTTCGTGGGTTAAAAACTTTGGCATATACCATTTATCATATATTTTTTATTGCAATATTAGTTAATATTATTAAAGTCTGAGCACTTATTGTTTTTTCTATGTTTTTAATATATTTTATTATGTCGAAACCGACTACGGTTGACTGCTTTTTTTACTCTTTCATAACATTGAGACTTATTCCTTACTTTGGTTCGACAAATTTAGGTTTTTTTACATAATTTATTTTAAGATAATGTCTTGCTTCAAAACTCAGAGGCATTTATTTTTTAACCTGCCGAATATTACTTGTACTTTATTTAAAAATTCTGATTTGTTTCTATTACTAAGCAAACATGCTAAAATCTCCTAAATACATAAAATATTATTTTTGGTTTAGTTTTATTACAGTATTTTCAGTTCTGAAAAGCAAATCGAACTTGTTTTAAAAACTCATACAATTTTGACCAACTCCCTACACATTTCAGCTCAATGGCCCCAAAAATGCTTCAACCACAGCCTTTATTACGAAGTTAATAATTTTTCCATTTCTTCTTAATTTACATAACTCCTATAATTTCTTTATCTTCTTCTTTAATTTTTTTTTTGCTGAAACTCACCGTTGTTGGTATTGGTGATAAATAGTCGGGCTGCAGATATTGGTTGTTGCCAATGGTAACAACACCGCCGCCACCTTCTAAAACAACCATTTTTCGCAAATCCAAAGGTTGTGTAGAAAGCGTGGATAACGAAGTTGAGTAATACAGCTAATCCACAAAAATGTTTAATCCAATGAGAGTAATGGTGTAGCTGGTCTTATAGCAGCTAGTAGAGATGTTGATGCAATGGTTAATCCAACAATTTATTTTGGGGTTTGAGTTTTCAAGTTTTCAAGCTTTTAAGCTACTTTAACGACTTTTTTTTTTTTAATAATCCACCATTTAAGTTGGGTGAGCACAATTTATTGTTTTCTAGTTAGCACTAACTTTTTGTATATTCTTTGCAGCGAAAGTTTAAATTTCATTCACAAAATGCTTCAGCGCTGCTTAGTTTAATATAATTCACTTTTATTTTGAAATTTGTATTTCAGAGCGCCACACAAAATGATTGAACACAAATTATTTCGAAGTATTTATTTGCTTTTATAATTTTTTTTTTTTTCAACTTTGTTGTTTTTGAGCACAACCGTTTATTATGACTATCAAATTAGCTTGTGGGTAGATATAAGTGTAGTCAAAGAGTATTTACTTTGCCACGTTCCGAGTTTCTTTTCAAACACGTCTAAACGCAAGGAAAGCCAAACACGAACTGAATTTTCTGTGACACACAATTTGCTTAGCTACTGGTTAGTCGTGCTGCGACATATGTAGCTCGTTGCAAGAGCGCTTCGCTGCCGTCCAACTCTATTACACTCTTAAAGAGCGCGCCTTCTAAAGTACAATTTGGCAACGTTTACCGTTGCTCTCAAAACCTGAAATGAGCAAGCAGCCTATCGAAGCTGTAAGAGTGAGCGAGTACGTATAAGTGCGTGCGAGCAAGAACGCTATAGCGTAATTTTCAAATATGGCGTACTTTTTGTCCAATCAAATCGCATGCGCCATAAAAATATATAAATGCTTTGATCTTTGGCAACGTGCGACGGCAGCGCCAGTGACAGCCTAACTCTCTCATTTATACATATGCATAGTGCTAATTGTGGCAACCAGCTGTCAAGCGGTTTGTTAATGGATGGATGAATGGATGGCTGCTTTCGTCAGACATGTTAGGAAAAAGTGCATTACCAAGGCACGTTTGGTGTGTAATTTGCAATACGGCAAAGAGCGCGTATATAGCACCTAGCGTAACAGGTTATTCTCAGTAACGAAATTGGAGCAGAAAAATTCTTATAGAAATTTTAACGCTCAGCACTCGCTCAATTTTGACGATGCATAACCAATCAATGGGCTGCTTCGACGTACGCCACAATGGCAACACTTCAAAATGGGGTTACCTTTTGTTAAAATATGTACTGAGCACGCTTTATTGAGCGCATTGCAGAGCCGCAGTGTGCGCTGAGCGCCACACTCTTTGACATTTTCCATTAGTAAACAATAAATTAAATGTTAATTTAGTGCTCTCGCAAGTAAATTGCTGCGCTGTCCGCGAGAGCACGCTCATTTACTATTTGTAGGCTACCAGCTCTCATACCGTTTGCCCGTCTACTTGTTTCCACTCACTCGTCGGCGCTGCTGTCAGCGGCGATCATTGCGTTCGGTTAAGTGACCAAAAGGTTGCAATTAAACTGTCACGTTTATCACGCCTTTCAGCACAACAACGGCGGCAAAAACAAATGCCACAACAGTAGCAGCTTCGTTGCAAGTCGCGCTGAGGCGCAAAAACAAGCACTATAATTTCCAGTTTTATTTTTATGTATGTATCACGCTGTCGACATAACAAGTCGTGTTGCACGCTGACGCAGTGATGCCACACGATGTCGCGTCGCGCTGTTTGTGCTTAAATTGTTGTAGACACAAGCTGTTAAATTGTTGCATACGCTTGTAAATCGCTCACATTTTTGGCTCTTTAGTGCCATTAAAATGTTAGTTAGCATGTTACATAGGTTACTAGATACAAAACGTGTGTTTACTTATTTACATATCTGCCATACATATAACGCCATAGGCAGCCAAAACTCGCGTGAAACTTTGAGCTAGGAGATACTTATGAAGTTTATAAAACACCTTAGTTTTTTAATTAGTATTACTTATGCTGATAACTTTTGTGAGTTTATATTATGACTCTTTCATGTCATGGCAGAGTCCATAAACTTTGGTGTCGCCATTTGCATTATTGTTGCATTCCAGGGGTTGCGCACGTTTTGCCGTCGGAGTTTTGACTTTTCATTTTAGCCAATACGAATTCGCTTTTAATGAATTAATAAATGCTTAAGTGGTTTTTTGAAGATCACTGAAGTTTAGAGCGATTAAATTATTTACTTTTTATAACATTTTTTAGAAACTGGCGGGTTTTAAATAATTTGTCCACTATATAATAGGTAGCACGTATAACAGAATAAAATTTGAAATAATACAGAGCAACGGAAATTAATTTCTTGAATTTTAATGTACTCTCTCTTAATAATAATACGAATAAGGATGCCTATATATTGAAAATATTATCCATTATACGAGTACAATGCTAAAACCATATATTAAGCTATGCCGGATAAAAAATATCTGGGTTCAAAATAATTATTATATTTTATATATGTATTGTTTTATTAAAGTTATTAAATATTTGGCTTATCTAGAGTTAAATAAATAAATATTGAGACAGTTATTTATCTTTTTTAATTTATTGAAAGATTTTAATTTATAATGAAAATACGAAATAAGCGAATAAATTTAAAATAAAACTGTACATATTCTCTTAATTATTGGTAAAATATTGAGGTTAAAGAGACCACATAGGGTGACTTTTAGGAATTAAACAAAAATAATTCTTTATCAATTGTTTTAAAATTTGAGAGTATATCTTTATTTATTTTAAAAATATCTCAAATAATTAATTAAGACAAGGGTTACTTTGCGTTACTCAAAAAATTTTCTCTACTTGTTAAAATTATGGCGTTGTAGAAAAAATTTAACTTGGTAGTTTTGGTCTGTCAAAATTAGATTATTTCGAATTAAAAAGTGATCTAATCATTTGTCTCCGCGTCATCACTCCACTTCAGCAATTTTTAAGAATGTAGCTGATCGCGCTAGCACGTTGGAAGACTGTAACCGGACTATTTGAGATATCAATTAAAATTTTTGGTGACTTATTTTTTAAGGTACAACCTTTCGGCATAATAAAAAAAATTATTTCTTGCTTCCCTTTAATTTCACACTAAATGCCAATTTAAATGTTTATATGATTATATAGAAGCGATTTGGCTGAAAATTGGTGGAGAGATAGCTTAGAACCAGAGTAAGGACATAGAATACCTTTAATCTCTTTATATCAAAATGTATTACAAACCTTGAGTGCCGGTTGATCATGTGCAGTCCACTAGAATGACTGCCGATTGGACTCCAGTGTGAAATGATGGAGCTATGTTTCTACTGTCACACACCGATGCAAGAATTCTGTTTTATTACTACTAAATAGCACTCAAACAATTTTCAGAATAAGTTGTACGTTTTTTTTTTTTTTTTACAGAGCACATAGCTTTTGCCTCTTTAGAGCATCATCTTAGCAAATATCTTTTCAACGATGGATTGCCCTCAGCTCAAGCTCAACGGTATTATCCCCCAAAAATCAATGCTCTATTAACACACGAAATGCAAGTTGCTTCACAAAAATGATATATCCCACTAACCAATAATTATAATCCAACTAATAAAAATTATATAGATTGTAGTATTATATATGTATCAGCCACAGTGAAGCGTGGATGGGTCCTCTAGTATAATATATATATATATTATAAATACTTACGCCAAAAGTTAGAAAAATAAAATACAATAATAAAATCGTTTTTATTTTAACCCAGTTTAGAAAATGTAGGAAATAATATATAAAAAATATTTAAACAATTTTTTTATGTGATTCCGAAATCTTGAATTAATTTAGCAACTTTTAAATTTCGAATCCCAAATACTGAATTAAAGAATAAAAAACGCACTAAAATTTATAAATTTGCTTCGTTGAATTGTAAAATATTTCGTGTTGGCGGACTTCGTGTTTTGCAAGTTTGATTTTTAAACCTTTTCATTCCAACTTTGGGACTGAAAAGCAAATGTATTTAAAAATTAAATATTAGTATTTCTAATCCCGAAATTGTATTTGTAATATAACATATTTTCCCTGGGTCCTGACAGCATCCCTTCTGTTATTTGAATGCTAAATGAACACAGCCACAACACAGTGCAACATACATGAATAACAAGTCAACATATCTTGTTGATACTGTCATGTACCAAATTATCTACGTGTACACTTTTAATAAATTCACGCAATTATATACTCAAACGGGTATTTCAAGAGAAGGTTGTGTTCTTGCATTTTCCCTATTTATGATCCTGAAAGTTTTGAAATTCCAGTTTATATAACAAATATAAATATAAATGAAATAGGTATACGGTAATGTCCAGTAACAATGAGCAAGAATCAGTGGTTAAAATTAATGAATATACATTTGAAACTGTGAAGGTCAATTTAGGCTTAAGCTCACTAGTAAAAACTAGGCAAGCCTTAAAAGCCAATAGGTCATATGCGGCATTAAATAAGTTTTTCAATTCCAAACTGTATAGTACACTAGCTCTCATATATAAAGCCAACATTCGACGAGTTTTATGGTACAATGTAGAATCATGGATCCTCGAAAAAAAAAATAAAATAAAGCCAAACAGCAAATATTTGAAAAAAAAATGTAAGAAAAATTCTAAAAAAGACAAGTTCTCTAAAGAAAAATGCTAAGAAAAGTCTTTGAATTAGTCAAACATAAAGACAAGAGGCGTGTAAGCGAAACCGAACTAGACCAAGTTACGAAAGGCGAAATCATTATACAATTTATCAAAGCGATTAAGACGGTTATGTCTATTAAGAATTTTGGACACTAAGAGGGCGCAAAAGAAAACCTAAGCGTTGAACACTAGTGCTAGGGGGATATCGAGATCAATATGGATCGACGAATTGAGAGAAAACATAACAAAGCTTTGTACTTGAATAAAAAGAGTAGGTGAAAAGGATGCCTGGGTCATTCTAAAAACATGCCAAAGTTCGCAAAAGCTGCAAGGCCAAAAGATGCTGATGACAACGAGTTTCAATACTTGGAATATAGTTAGTTATTATATTTAAAATCAAAACACTTAATATGAACGAAGTACACATAAAGTAAATGCTGTATCTATAAAATATGACTAAGAAAATTGTGTTTTGAAATCTTGAACATACTAGTATACTGAATGCCAGTACATATCCTCCATTAAATATTATAATTACCATGTAAGAAATTGCCCACGACATGTATATTATGTAAATATATGTGCATATAGCAAAAGCGAGGGTAAACTTTCGAAAAATTGTTTCACATTAATTTGGCTAATAATAAATTATTCAAAATACTCTGAAACAGGGAAGTTTTCAGCAAATAATAAATGTGCACATATACGTATAAGTATGTGTGTTTACCTTTTATGTACCTGTCCACAATTGCACTTCACTACCTACCACGGTCAATTATGCACAAGTGCGAATGTGTCGAGTGGGAACTAACTAAGCAGATGAGAGAGGCGAATATGTGAGCGCTGTGCTGATGGCTTTGTTGGCTTGG